GTGTTAAGTGACCCAGATGCTTTGGGGACTGGAGAGACAGAGCTGGCTCAAACCAGAACCTTGCCTCTCAGAGCTCCCTGCTGGGTAGTGGGTGTTGTTGCTAGGTGCCATTGTGTCTGTTTTGGACTCCTGGTGACCCCATGTGACAAGAGTAAAACCACCCCACAGGGTTTTCTAGGCTGTCCTATGGAGCCACGGGATGGGTTCGAACCGGCAGCCATTCTGTTTGGAGACACGTGCTTCACGGCTGCCCCAGCAAGGGTCCGTAGAGCAAGGAGGCACGGAGACAGCAGCTCGACCCTGGACACATCCCTTCATGGAGGCAGCGCCCGTGGCAGGGGAACCGAAGCCATGGGAGAGGGTAAGAGGCGAGGCCCGCTTAGCAGAGCAGCCCCCCGACCCGGCCCTGGAGGTGTTGCCCTTCCTCCAAGAGCCCGGTGGGGGCCGGGACTGAGCCTCCAGATGGGGTCCGTGAGGGACATTAACTGAGGTCAGCACTTGGGACCCCAGCTGCACCGCAAAAGGAACATGAGGCAGTCGGTTCCCGGAAGGATGACAGCCTGGGGAACCCCCGAGTTCTGCTCTGTCCTTTAGGGTCACTCTAAGTCAGAATCTACTTGATGCCAACAGGTCTGGTTTTGATTTTAAGGAGCCCTGGTAGAGCAGCGGTTAAGTGCTCGCCGGCTAACTGAAAGGTCATTGGTTTGAACCCACCCACTGGCTCCGTGAGAGGACAGGACGATGTGGCGATCTGCCCCCACCACGATTACAGCTTAAACCCTGTGGGGCAGTTCTGTCCCGTCCATGGGGTCACCATCGAGCCCCTGCTGCCCCACGAGGGGCTTCTGGAAAGAGGCCAGACAGCTGCTGTGCTGAGTCACGGTGAGCTCAGCTCAGAACCCAGGGCGGGAAGGGCCGCGCTGACCTCATCCCCTTGGGATTGGCTGCCCCAGGCTGGGACCCTCAGGGCCAGGCCCCAGGCCCCTCCCCCACGAGGCCGCGGGGTGGGACGGAGGCTGTCAGCTGCTTCCTGTCTGCTCTCGGTTCCTGGTCTTTGCCTGGGATCCTGCCTGAGGCCCTATTGTCCCCTCTCTCTGGGTCCGCGGCTCAGTCTTGGTCCTCTCTCTGACATCTTTCCCGTCTGGGGTCTTGGTGTCTCTCTTGGACTTCGTGTCTCCGGGGAGAGCTCGTGGGGTGGGGGAGGGGAAGCTGATGGCACTACCTAGTCAAACAGTGGCGCCCCAGTTACTCATTGACCAGTTGTCATACCTCAGCCTCCTGACCTTTAGTCCCAGGCAGGTGCCACCTGTGCAGAGGGGACTTTGAAAAAGTGCACACAGGAGGGGGAAGGAGAAGAACTGAGCAGAGAAGCTCCGAAGAGGGATAGAGTCCATAGGGGGTGGGGAGACAGACCCCGAGAGAGTGGGGGGACAGACTGGGGGTGGGGCAGAGACCCAGAGAGAGAAGGGCAGAGACGGGGGGGGGGCAGAAGCCCGGGGGGCATGGAGACCCAGAGAGAGGGGAACAGAGATGGGGGGCAGAGACCCAGAGAGAGAAGGGGCACAGAGATTTGACTGGGGGTGGGGAGAGAGATCCTGAGAGAGAGGGGCAGGGCCAGGGCCAGGTGGGGCCTCACCCATCACGGTCCCACAGAGCACAGAGCACTCTCAGGAAAGGCGAGTGGAAGCAGCGTGCACTTGCTCCCCAAGGACAAAGACGAGAGGGCGCCCTCGCTCGTGGGCCGGAGGGGACAGTGTGGGAGTCCTGTTCCCCACGGACAGCCCGGCAGGGGAGAGCCCAGTGACCCCAACGCCGACGTGTGCCCCAAAGGAGGTTTATTGCCCCCCGAGACCGACCCCCCATCCCCCAATAATTACAAAAGTAAGAAAAATGCCCAAGTCTCCCCGCCATCCCCACCCCGCCCAGGAAAACGTTATAATTTATGCAGAAAACAGAGTCCAAGGCTCAGAGCTTCAGCCCATTTTCTTCCAGATGGTGAGCGAGGCCGTGAGCACGCCAGCCACAAAGATGGTCACCGTCTGCCACGTGGGGGTCCCAAAGTAGGAGAGGAGGCCGTCCTGCGAGGAGAACAGCCGTCACTTCTCCCGTCACTTCTCCCGCACCTTGGGCCGGGCCGGGCAGGGAGGAAGCCGGGGCATGAGGAGCGGGCAGGACAGCAGCGGGCAGGGCCCTGGGATGAACGGGTGCTGCAGACTTGGGTTTAAAGGGTCATCAGTGAACTTGAGGCCTTCGGGAGGAAGTGCAGGCACCCGGGAGGGCAGAAGGCACCAGGTGGCTCAAGGGTCACTGGGAGGTCAGAGGTCACCAGGAGATCCCAGGTCAAAGAGAGGTCAGCAGGTGCCAGACACATACGGAAGTAGGATGTGAAGTAGGTTGAGACGCCGTATGGTGGTCTGGAAATTGGGGTAGGGAGGTACTCTGGGGAGCGGGGGTGGCTCAGGAAGGTCCATGGGTCCCAGAGGACTTCAGGGCGAAGGGGAAGGGGTTGGAGGCCTCACCCAACCTCCCTGGTCCTGGATCCAGCCCAGAAGCCGTTCCCGAAGGAAGTCCAGCGTCCAGCCCATGATGGTTCTGATCAGTTCCGGCACCTTCGTGCATAGGGCCTGCGGGCAGTGGGTGGACGTTAGGAACCAAGATTTGTCCCCACTGCCTGGTGGTGGCAGCCCCAAGCCGCCTTTCTCAACTCTCTGCCTCCCCTCCTGGCCCCCTGCCGTCTCTGTGCTGCCCCCAATCAGCGTGCGCGTCATAAGCTGGCTTACATCACTGCCCACTGCTCTGCTCAACAGCCTTCTATGGCTCCCTAGTGCCGTGGAATGAAGATGCGGAGGCCCAGATGGGTCCACGGCACGGACCTCGCCTCATGTCATTTTCCGCTGTGTTTCTGTGCCCCCGACCCTCTGCCGTTTCCTCATCCCCCACAACTCTTCCCCTCGTCAGGGGCTTTGTACTTCGACCTAAAACAAGAAGCTCTGGTGGCACAGTGCCTAAAGCATTCGACTGCTAACCAGAAGGCTGGCGGTTCAAATCCACCAGTCACTCAGCGAAAGAAAGACAGGGCAATCTACTTCCATAAAGATTTACTGCATCGGAAATCCAGTGGCGGTTGCCAAGTCGGAATCGACTCCTTGGCAGTGGTTTTGGTTTTACTTTGGTTACCTGAGACAGCCCTCAATGGAGCAAATTCTCACTCGCCTCTCAAAGTTCAGGTCAAACGTCACTTCCCCAGAGAGGGCCTTTCTGTCCTCCAGACCAGGTAAGACCTCTCTCCTCGCCGCAATCTGTCCTCCCAACTCCTGGAACTTGCCCTTCCCACATAGCCACAAGCTACAGTCCACAGTTAACACTGTCCTGAATTTGCTACCAACACCAGTTGCCACAGAGGCGATGCTGACTCACGGTGACCCCGTGTTTCAGGGTAGAACGGTGTTCCACGGTGTCCACGGCTGTGACCTTTTGGAAGACCACCAGCCCTGGCTTCCAAGGCGTCTGTGTGGATTTGAACCGCTAACATCTCAGTTGGTAACCATTTGTCCCAGAGTCACCTTATGAATTGATAAATCACGTCGTCTCACTCCTTTGCTTAACCCAGCGGATCACTCATGTCTCAGAACAAACGGAAAATCCTTACAGCGGCCCCCAAGGCCCCACAGAGTCTCACCCTGACTGACTCTGCCCTCACCTGCCACCTTCTCCCCCCTTGTTCACTCCATTCGAGCCACACGGGCC